GACTTGCAGACCCTGGTCGTGAAGAAAGCGGGTGACGGTGTTTGTGTGTTTTGTCTGTACGTGTGAAGCTGCATGTTAATAGGAATCTCTATTTCTGGAGAGGCATACAGTGTTTCATTCTTGGAATCATGTCAAAGTAGCATCTACTTTTACATATTTTATTTTCCGCTCACAGTTTCTCTGTGCTGATGCAGCTTTTGTTAGGTTAGGCATTTTTCAGAGTGAACTTGATTTCAGGTAAAATTTTAAACTCAAAATCTTTAGCATATCTATTATCACATACCTATGTCTATATATCTAAAAGTAAAATATGAGCACTTAGTAAATTGAGTTGGAAAAACTGTCTCAGATAATATTAAAATTACCACCATTTTAATAATTTAGTTGGGCCAAAGCTTTTGCATGTACACATGTACATACATGCACATGTAAACCTGGGTTATATGTGGCGAAGGCAGACAGATGCGGGAGGAGCACGGGAGAGCAGAGGAGGAGAACCGGTGAGAACCGGAGAGGACTGGGGAGACCGCTGGCGCTTGGGTTGGAGCGTCCTTGTGAGGGAAGGGGGCAGGGCCAGGTGGTAAACACCTTACATGCTCAGAAAAAAAAAACTCGGGCTGTTTCCTAGCAGTTTCTGCTAAAACAGCGGTGGATACAGCCCCGTCCTTCAGTGGCGCTCACGAGAGCACGGCATTGCCCGGCCCCAGGGGCTGGTCTGCTCCTCTCAAGGAAGAAGCATTTAGACTGTGGGTCCCTGTTTCCGAGGGAATGTCTTGCAGGTACATGGGGCGGCTCAGAGTGCCTGGAAGACTTTGTTTTCTCGGGTCTAGCTGTTTAATACCTACTGCTTATTTAAAAACAGACTCCAAACCTTACTTCAGGAGACTGTAGCTAATAAAAGTTAGGGTATTTCATTTTCTGCCCGGGCCATGTGTATACTTGGGAGGAAGGGAAGCTAATGAACTGGTGCTTGTGGAGAGCCCTGTATACACAGAGCGTGTGTAGCTGCACACACGCTGCCTCTTCCAGTCCTCACCAACGGTCCTTGCGTGCACGTAGTAGTTACCTCCTCTTATCGGTAAGGAAATAGAGGTTTTGAGGGGTCAAGTCCAAGTCAGGTAGCCAGAAATTGTCGAAGAGGAGGTGCAAACGTAGGCCTGTGTACTCGTATGAGAATTGCCGGTTAGTCATAGCCTTGTTCTTAGGAGCTCTCAGAAGTCTGCAAAGGGATTGCTGCGCTCTTCATATGCAGCAGCCTAAGGCCAGGGAGTCAGAGGGAGTGTGGAGAAGAGCAGTTAGTTAGCAGTGACATTTGCTAGCGTGCAGAAACCACAGAAAGTGGGCCAGAGGAGGTTTCCTCAGAGCCACGCAGAAATGTCCTTTAGGATATGTAGGAACGGGTCACGGCATCGTGGGACTCGAGGGAGCGGGAGCCTCGGGGAACCTTACTAGCAGTGATTTTATCAGAAGTGAGTCCTCTGACGGCTCTCATCAGAGTCACCCCTTCACTGTGGCTGAGGGCATCTGTGTGCTCTCTCTGGCGTGTGTGTCTCCAGAGGAGGCTGCTTCCAGACCAGGGAGATGTGCCCAAAGACTCTGGCCTGGACACTGCAGTGGACCCGACAAGGAGGCGAGCCCCAGGTTGTGCAGCTAACCGGGTGGTGGGAACGTTAGGAGTGCCAGCCTCCCTGCGTGTTCCTCCAGCAGCACCGCTTCCCAAACTCGCACCAGCTCCTTGCCGGGGAGACGGTTGGACATGGGCCTCCAGGGGTCTTGAGGCATCACTTGAAGTGATCGAGGGGTGATTCTGGTTTTTGAAATTTCCTTTTTTATCTTTAGGCAGATCTTTTCATTTCCATGTCTATTCGTTTTACTTGAAAAACAAATTACTTTACTGGCTAAGTATCTCCTTACCCCCATCCTAAATCTCCAAGTAGAATCGACAGCTGGGAGGAGGGCGCTTGTTTCACTGTGACTTGGCCGTCTCCCGCCCCCTCGCCCGGAGTGGGTGCCCAGGTGTGGAGGCACCAGCCCCTGGGGTTGGCTGCTGCACCCACTGCACCTTCAGAGGCTGCGCAGATGACACAGGGCTGGCCGTACCCCTGCGGAGTCCCACTCCTGGTGGCCCCGTACTTCTCGAGTTCCTCCGTCCTCTTGGGCATGCGCTCCCTGTTTATCACCCTGTCACTGTTTCTTCCTTTCACTCAATTGGCAGGACTTGGTCTGTGGATGTCTCCAACCGTTTTGTTGTTTGGATTTTTTTTTTTTGTCTTTCCAGGGCAATGAAACAAGCATTGTACATGTGTCTGATTCTATCAGGTGCGTGTGTTTTTCTCGTGGTCCTGCTGAGTAACGGTGTTTTTGCTTTAGCGGCCATGTCCTTGTGCCTTCGTAACTACCCCAGGAAACCGGCAGCGTTGGGGTTGTTACCGCCTGGCTCCCTGGACCAGTGAAGAAGGCGTTGGTGGGCACGACTCACAGCCGCGTGTCCGGCCAGGACTTGGGTTCGCCGAACTGGTCTGCTTTGCTGCCCTGGTAGTTTCTCGAAACGTTTTCTGAAAGTCTTCTGGTTTTCCTAAAGGTGGAAAGAATGTGTTACGTAGGTTGAGTTGTCTGCAAAGGAGAGGATAGCTCTAAAATACTGGAGGATTTTCTTTTTTTGTCTTAAATTCAAGGAAGAAACCATGGGCTTTTTTGGCTTCCAAACAGGACTGGCTCCTCCATGGGACAGATGTGTGCTGCTGGGATCGAGCAGGGTCGCGAGTGGCTGGGTTTTCATTCTTCTCTCTGCCATCTTAACCCCTTTTCGAGAAGCCGTGAGAAGGGTGTCAGTGGGAGAGCCACACCTTGTGGTTAGTGGGGACTTCTTGGTCTCCGGTTTCTCAGAAGCAGTGATAGAGGCCCTCTCGCTATTGTGAGAGCATTTGAAAGCCTAATAGAAATGGTACACTTCCCTGAGGAAAAACCATGAATCTTAAAATGTCAAACTTATTTACTTTCGGCTGGAATTTACTGAACCGGATTTAGAAGCCCTGCCTGGCAGCAAATGGACATGGCCAATTAATTGTTTTTGAAAATTGCCATTTGTTTGTAGACAAAGAGCCCATGAGGAGAGAAAATAATCAAATGAATGGTCTCGAAGGCTGCTCACGGCCGGAGCCTGAGACCTGTGCTGCCGTGAGGGAGGGTGTCCAGCAGGGGGCACCAAGGACCTGCTTAACCGTGGGCTCCCCAGCCAGGCCTGCAGCGCTTGAAGCCCCTTTAAGCTTCCCCTGTGAGCTGCAGTTCAGCTGCAGCTGCGCCCTGGGTTTCAGTGCCTGACGTCCGTCCGCCCCTGCACCCACCCCCTCGGTGGTGTGGCCTGTGCTCTGGAGCAGCCTCTCACCACACGCTGCCTGCAGCGGAACCTGCAGACGCTGCCGACGCTGCCGACACTGCTCTGGACGGGACGCTTCTCGGGAGCAGGGATTTACTTGCAGGGCCGTCCAACCAGTAGCCCATCAGCCGCCTGCGGCCCAGGATGGCCATGCACGAGGCCCAACACAAAATCGTAAATTTGCTTAAAACCTGTTTTTTTGCTCATTAGTTTTCATTAGCGTTTGTGTATTTAATATGTGGCCCGAGACAGCTGTTCTTCCAGTGTGGCCCAGAGATGCCAAAAGGTTGGGCACCCCACCCCTGCGGTGTGTCCCTCCGTGTGTCCAGCGGCGCCAGGCCCAGGGCCTCCGAGTTGTCTTGTTAACACCTGTTGGTGCTCCCTGGGCTCACAGGCACCTCCACAGGGTTCACCCTCCGTGTGTGTTTGCCATGAACAGTGTGTTTCTTCTCCCAGCTGCACAGATGGCTTGTCGGACGGGGAGGGCACTTTATGTCTGCAGACTGTGTGATTTCATAAACTTCAGCTGCTCTTTGGCCGACCGTTTTCACTAACTTCGGAGACAGTACTAGAAATCTTCCCTATGACGGGTCTTCCCTGAAGCTCTGCATTTGGCCTTGGCAAGTGGGGCCTCTGTGTGTGCCAGACAGCAGACGGCCACGGAGTCCTCAGGCTGTGTGCCATGGCGGTGGGAGCCTGGGAGAAGCAGCGAAGGGCCGGCTGTAGCTCCCGTCCCTTTGCTTTGCCTGGGCGCCGGCAAGGCCTCCGCAGCCAGCAGGTTTGACCAGGAGGGGGCGCCCTACCAAGGAAGGGCCGGCGAAGAACATGGCGTAGTCGGATTGTGTGGTTTTACTGAAAACCATTAAGGAAATGGATGCTCATTTTTTCTTTCTCAGAAAACAGATATGGCTTTTAAGCCAATTGGAAGGAAATTTGAAAAGGTTTCATAACAGTGTTCCTTTATTACAGCCAACCTCCACAGGCAGTCGGGTTGTTTGCAGGCCTGACCCTGGCTTCGGCGTCTTCGTTGTGTGGATCCCCTTCTCGAGTGTTTGATTTGACGACACGCTGGAAGTTCTGTGTCCGATAGCAGGCCCACGAGCGTGCGGACCTCTGACAAACAGCGCTTACGTTCGCTGAGTTTAGAGACCTGACCGCAGTCCAGGAAGACCGAAGACAGGAGTGCCAGGGGGTGCGTCCGGCCGCGTCTCTGAAGGCGGCTATCTGTGTAGCTCTCTAGTGAGTCTGATAAACTAAGGCCGCGTTTTTATTTCTAGAGCTGGGAGTGCCCGAGCTGGCAGCCCTGACCTTTCAATGTTGGGAACACCAGGAGTTCTGATTACAAGACGAAGCGAAATGACAGCTTTTCTTGTCTGTTAAAAGCCCAGGACTCGCGTGGCATTCCTTTGTCCTACAGCCAGAGCCGAGAATGTGGCCCCTGCTCTTTGGGGCAGCGTTGTTTTAAAGAACGCGATCAGAATCTGCCTGTTAAACACCATCTTCGTGAATCTGTATTTCAGTTTATTATTGCATTTGGCAGTTGAGTTTGCACTCATTGGGGTGGGGTGTCTGACAAGTACGTTTCCAGAAATGCATCTAAATAACGTGGCTGCTCTGTTTTTAGGTGATCGGTGAGGACAATGTGGCGGTCCCCTCGCACCTTTATAAGGTGATCCTGGCGCGCAGAAGCCCAGCGTCTACCGAGCCGCTGGCCCTGGGGGCCTTCGTGGTGCCCAACGAAGCCATTGGCTTCCAGCCCCAATTAAGTGAATTCCAAGTGAGCCTTCAGGACCTGGAGAGGCTGTCGGGGCTGGTGTTCTTCCCTCACCTGGACAGAACGGGCGACATCAGGAATATCTGTTCCGTGGACACCTGCAAGCTCCTGGACTTCCAGGAGTTCACTCTGTACCTGAGCACCAGAAGGGTCGCGGGAGCCCGGTCCGTACACAGACTGGAGAAGGTCATGGAAAACCTGAGGGACTTAGGGATCGAACCCGATGATTACTTCATGAGCTGCTATGAGAAGAAACTAGAAGAACTGAAAGCTAAGGAGGAGGCAGGGCGCCTGGAGAGGAAGCCTTCCTAGTTTTTGCCTCGGAAGTGCGATGCCGTCCGTGCTGAGCAGGCGTGCCCTCTTCAGGCCCATGCGTTGTGGCGGCTCGGCTTGTTCACAAAAAGGACCGAATCCTACATTTCAGACTCACTATCTCCCCAAAAGATGAAAGATCCAAAAATGTTTTGGTTAGTATCTTATTTGCCATGGGAGCTGATCATTAAGGAGACTGCAACGCCTGCAGATGAAGGGCTGCTCCCGTGTCAGGTGAGCGGGGCCGTGTTCGCAAGATGACTCGGCGTCTGTGTCCCTCGGGACGCGTTGTGTGCGAAGGCGTGTTATGGTCACGTCTCCAAGCCGAGCAGCGTCTCACGTGCCAGCCCCGCTGTTTGTTCTTGGAGCCCAGTATCGTCTGCTTCCTTTCCCTGGGACCTGTGTCGGTCTCACAGGTAGTGTTCGGACGGCCCCTGGGCATCACCCTGTTCACGGGCACCACGCAGTGGTGGGCGCGCGTGGGTTCGCGGCGGCAGTGTGTTCAACAGTAAGTGATAATGCCGGAAGGAACTCGTCCGCATGCTCACCAGTGTGCGCCTGCGGTCGCCCACCCCTGTGCGTCTGTTTCTCGACCTTCCCGTCACGGAACCTGCTGTTTGTGTGACAGAGGAGCACTCAGCGGTGGCCCTGCCTGCCCACGTGCTGTGTCCTGTGTGATGAGCGGAGTACTTTACATGTGGTAGCTTACAGTGGCCCTCCGAGATAAATACCACTGTCCTCATTGTCCTCCTGAGGCAATAAGTGAGGAAACCCAAAGCGTACCTTTCTGAAGAAGTAACCCACCGGGGATGGGGCACACAGGACTGAGAAGTCACGACGTGCGTTCAGATCCCCATGCACAGGTTTTTGGCTCAGGTGCATACCTGCATGGGTGTCTGCGATCCTGGGGCCTGCTTGGTAGGCGAGGTCTGCTTCCTCGTCTGTCATCACGCTGAAGGGGCTTGAATGGCCTCTGACTTCAGCTCTTTGGGGAGGCACAATCACAGGTCCTTGAAAGGTGGAGGACGGTGCTTTGTGGGGTTTATCGGAAGCCCTGCTTGCCCCCAGAAGTGCAGTTCTTTCACGTGACTCCGTGCTGCCGAACTGGTGTTGCTGCAGAGATGAAGGAACCCAAGGAGGGTCCGTGCCCACCGATCCCCCTGCAGGATTCGCTCACCCGTGTGCCTGCCCGTGTGTTGGGTCGCTCAGGGCGGGCGCTGCCCTCCTGGGCGGAACGGGAGTCCGTCCGCGGGCTCTCCTTCCCTGTAGGCAGTGAAGCACCTTAGGAGACTCCTCCCTTTTCAGAGGAGCTTGTCTGAGTGCTTCCCGTCACTGCTGTCCCTCCAAGTGTGTCACCGGGACAACTGTTGTGGCGTTTTGTCTCTAACAGAAATGGCAGGGCTGTCAGACGGAGGTAAGGGGGCCATGATGAAGCTTGTTCTGCTTCTGGGGGATAAAGAAACAAAGAACTTGGGGGTCAGAACGCGGCAGCCTGATTAGTGCCGCCCTCTCCTATCACGCTGTTCCCCATTAGCTTGTGCCAGCCTCTCCACTCGGAGAGAGAGCCAGCGTGCGTGTCACCGTGACCAAGAAACCTGTCTCTCTCTCCTTGTTGGCGAGGTGACGGTGGGCTCCGGGTGTTCCTCGGAGCCCGGGGGGGCGGCTCTGCGGGAGCCGCCTTGGGCTCCCGCCCGTCCCTCCCCCCCACCCCGCCCAGCCTGCCGCTGTGCTGTTCCGACCTGAGCTCCCAGCAGTGTGGAGTGTCTTTCCACGCTGTTCCTCCTTTCTCGCCCCCAGATGGGAGAGAATCTGGATTTTTAAATCAGAAAATTACAGTATCTTAAGTTTATGCTTGCTTTGAAAAATGCCGCCTGATCATTGTGAAAAACAGAGGTTAACTAATTTGAAAAATGCAGTCACCCTATCATTTTTCTATGTAGAAGCTTTTATTTTATTTTTATTAAATCATTTTTAATTGTTCTGTTACGGTTGTCCCAGTTTTTCCCCCTTTGCCCTCCTCCGCCCTCCCAGCCCCCCACGCCCACGGTCAGCCCCCACACTGTTGGCTGTGTCCGTGGGTCCTTCGTGCATGCTCCTTGTCTAGTCCCTCCCTCCCCTTCTGTCCACCCTTACCCCCTCCCCGTGCCCCTCTGGTCACTCGCTGTCAGCCTGTCCCGTGTTTCCGTGCCTGTGGGAGACTGTTACGCTAAGTGAAATAGGCCAGTTGGTGAAAGACAAATACCGTCTCATCCCACCTACAAAAGGAATCTAGTGAACAAAATAAACTCACGAACAAAATACGTGTGGAAGTTTTGCTGGCACACAACGATGATGTTTGAACCGTCTCGCCGTCTCAGTGAAGAGCCCCACAGAACACATTGGAGAATGTGAGTCCTGGGCGGAGCTTGGAAGTTATCTCCGGACCAGGTCGCTTCAGCCTGGGGCTCGGAGGCAGCGACGCCCCAGTGATGCCCGAGGCCTCTCCCCAGCATCATGGGCGTGTCCCTCCGATCGTGGGCCTCATCGTGGGGCCTGAGCAAATCGCCACCCAGTTGCCCTGTTCGGGGTCCTGCCACATCCTCCCGCTGAGCCTGGGACCCTGCCCTCTGCCGCATTGTGCTTGGGGGTCTGTGGGCGGGGGGGAGGCTGCTGGGGGCGAAGGGCCAGTCTGGGTGGGCTCTGCTGCCGGAAGCCCCCTCTGGGGGGAGGGGCTCACTCCCTGCTTCCTCTCTACCCCCAGTGACATGGTGTCTGGATTGAGACCGTGACATCAATATCTATATGTTTTCCCAGAAAACTAAAAGTTCTTAATGCAAGTAAGGTGATTACGGGGACATGAGGGAAATGAGGTACTCCCATGTAACAACTAATACAAGTTTTACCTTTTCCAAACAGTGTTTTGACAACAGAGGTGGATAATGGCCCATAGCTGTTATACGAAGGAGAGGGGTAATACAAGAAGAGAAACGACCTCTGCTTTCCAGTGGAAGTGTTTGTTTAACATTCATTTCCATGTACATCCTTCCATCAGTTAGCACAGTTCTCTTGTGTGGCAGCCTAGAGCAAGACAATTATCTTTTCAACTTTTCCAGCCTTCAGATATTTGCATCTACTTGTTTTTTCCCCACAGACCTGTCCTTTTAAAATTTTTTAAATTTATTTTTACATGTTGGTTTTGGGGTGTCGTCTAGTCGTTAGATAATCATGTACTTTACACAGCGTTCCCCCTCCACGTTTCAGAACCCGCCCCCACCCCCACCCCACCGGCAGCATGCACGGGTCGCAGTATCTCCCACCGCGCTCCCCGTGCCTCCCCAGCCTCCCCGAGACGCGGGTTTCCCACGTGCACCCCTCAGTCCCTGCACCCCTCCACCCTGCACCCCTCCACCCCGCGCCCCTGGTGCTCCCCGCCCCCAGCAGCTTCCCGTGCTCTGTGTACCTGCGAGTCTGTTCCAGTTTCATTTGCTCCCTTGTTCTCCAGACTCCACATGTCAGTGACACTCTTTGTCTTCCTCCGACTGACGTCCCGCTGAGCATAATACCCCCAGGTCCACCCACGTTGTCACAAGTGGTAAGGTCTCCTTCTTTTTACGGCTGAGTAATATTTCATCGTATGGAAGTATCGCCACTTCCTCACCCGCTCGTCTGCTGGTGGGCACTCGGGCTGCCTCCACAGTTGCTTGGCAACTGTAAATAACGCTGAAGTGAACACAAGGGTGCGTATGTTCTTTCAAGCTAGTGTTTTGGGTCTCTTTGGGTAAGTTCCCAGAAGGGGAATCACGGGGTCATAACGCAGTTCCCTTTTTTAGTCTTTTGAGGAAATTCATACTCTTTTCCACGGTGGCCGCACCAGCCCGCATTCCCACCGACACTTGCCCTTCTGGCAGGTGTGAGGTGGTACCTCACTGTGGTTGTACTCTGCGTTTTCCTGACAGTTGGTGTTGAGCGTCTTCTCACATGGCTGCGGGCCACCTGTGGGTCCTCAATGGAGAAGTGTCCGTTCAGATCCTCTGCCCATTTTGTCATTGGATTGTTTGGGGTTTTGATGTTGAATGGTATGTGTTCTTTATTACTTTTGGAGATTAACGCCTCATCAGATGCATCCTTGGTGAATACGTCCTCCCATTTAGTAGGGTGGCTTTTGTTTTCCTGTTTTGATGGTGTCCTTTGCTGTGGTGACACCAATACTGTACTGCAGCAAAGGTGGGACTTCCACAAGTGGCAAAGGCGGGATGGGTGTGCCAGCTCCCTGAACACTTGCTAGGGGTCCCGACCTTGTACCTTGACCCCCAGGACTTGAAGGGGAGCCCAGCAGGGCAGACTGGAGGGAGTGGCTTCCTGCGGGGCCGGGCTCAGCGGCAGCCCTGCTCGTGGAGCCACCCTAGGGCTGCCCTGTCGCCCGTGTTCGCTGGTCTCGCCCTTGTGGTACATAGTGTCATTGACCTTGACATTATGGATCTCACACTTCCCATCCACAGTCCGCCCCTCACCCATTTCTGCTCCAGGCTCTGCTGCCGTGCGTCCTGCTCACGCTCGCCCACACACCTCTGCCTGCATGCCCTTCCCGCTCTGGGCCCTCCTGCACCCTGCTCCCTCCTCCTCGTTGCTCAGCCTGAGTCATCCCTGGGGGCCGGTCAGGGGAGGCCTCAGGGGCATGGAACTCCTCTCTGCCTCCGTGCCCAGCCCCCGTAGGCCAGCTTTTCTGGGTGTCCGCGTGGAGGTTATCATGGGGCCCGGTGCCATTTTATTGAGCCTGGCCCCACCTCCAGGGATGCACGCTGAGGCCATCAGAGGGCCATGCGGGACAAACCTCGCTTGGACACGGGCCCTGTGTAACTTGGGCCAAGGAGATGAGGTGTGCAGGCTTCTCTTCTGACTTCCCAAGCACGCCAGTGTGGCCGTGGGGTGGCCGGCCCTGAGTACACAGGACCTCTTGAGGATCGTGTGGCTGCCTTGTGCCGCACCGAAGGACTCCAGACCCGGGTCCCCACTGCACACCCCGCCCCAACGGCCTCCCGCCCTGCTCTGTGAGCCGCAAAGCCAGCCCCAGGCGTCGGACACGGGCTCTCGGGCTCGATGGAACTTACCGTGTCCAGTGGGCCTGGCATTTATTTCCTCCCAATTTTATTTGGAAAACTTTTAAGCCTACAAAAAGTTGAAAGAAGCCCTGGCTGGTGTAGCTCAGTGGATTGAGCGCAGGCCTACGAACCAAAGGGTCATTGGTTCGATTCCCAGGGCACATGCCTGGGTTGCAGGGCAGGTCCCCAGTGGGGCCCACATGAGAGGTGACCACACATTGATGCTTCTCTCCTTCTCTTTCTCTTTATCTTACCCTCTCTCCAAAAATAAATAAATAAAATCTTAAAAAAAAACCTTGAAAGAAGAGTACAATGAATGCCTCTCTTATATGTTGTCTCGTTTGCTGTATTTTTTCTCGAGCCATTTAAAAGTAACTCATTGTTTTGAAAAAGGTGTAGATATGGTACTTGACTTTTTAAGACTTTGGCCTGTATCACCTCAGAATAAAGTCATTCTCTTATATTTCAAAAATACTATTGTTGTCACATTTAATAACACTACCAAGAATTCAGTATCATCTAATAAACAATCTCTCTTAAAACTTGCCTGGGTGTCCCCAAAACATCTTTATGCTTTAAAAAAAATTTTAGGCATCACTCGAGGTTCATATATTTCATTATTATATCTAGTCTCAATCTAGATTCTCCAATCCCACTCTTGAAAATTTTGATTTCAGCAGATCTGCTGTGAAGCCAGAATCTACATTTTTTAAACAAGCAACACGGGCAACTCTGAGGAGCAGCTGGGATTTGGAACCAGACCAGGGCCTGCTTTGCCTCTCCCCCCAAACACACATTCCCTAGGCAGGTTCTCTCTCTCTCTCTCTCTCTTTTTTTTAATGTTTAAGGTTTTATTTATTTTTAGAGAGAGGGGAAGGGAGGGAGAGAAACACCAATGTGTGGGTCGCTTCCCGCATGCCCCCCACTGGGGACCCAGCCCATAACCCAGGCCTGTGCCCTGACAGAATTGACCCGGAGACCCTTTGGTTCGCAGGCCGGTGCTCAGTCCACTGAGCCACACCTGCCAGGCCAGCAGGCGATCTTTCGAGCTTGTGACTATCAAGGCAGAACTTGCTCCCATTGGTTCCCCATGCCCTTTATGGAGCAGAGCTCCATGAGATTAAGCTGAAACCTCCCCCGTAACTCCCACCCACCAGTGACAGGTCCATTCCAGGTGGCACAGCTGGCTGGCACCTGCTTGCACCTGACCGTCCTTTAGAGATAGGAAGCCCCCAAAGGCATCAGGGCATCTCCCTCCGTGCTCAGGCGTCCGCAGATCCCGGCCCTTCAGCGTGATTTCACATGCCCTCACGGTGTGGCAGTCACGTCCCGGCAGAGCATTCGGCCGCGGCGATAGCGGTGCTGCACCGAGGAGCCTGACCTCCCCCGTTAAGGACGCGCCACACTGCTCACTGTGCCGTTGGTTCGTGAGGAGCTCGCTCCTGCTCCCCACCTCGGGGCTTTCCCACGTGATCTGCTGTCAGCTCACTCTCCCGTCCCACAGTCACGGAGTCCGTGTTTGGGGCACGATTGCGGGGGCATGCATGTGCCCGAGTGTTGTTACAGCTTCTACCCACCTTCCAGCGAGTTCACATTCCCGATGACCCCAATCTGGCCAGCTGACATGTCCGCCGTGCCTCCCAGCTTTGGGGTTGCAGATGGGACAAACACGCCTGCCATGTGTCCGCTAAAAACATCTCACAAGATGGAGCCGAGGAAGATCCCTCTGGCAAAAAAGAATTCATTTTCCACGGTGGCCTGCTTCACACAGCCAGCAGGTTTCCTGGGCTAACAATGTGATGCCCTAGGTTCAGTTCCCTTCCATGATGTAACAAAGGAGAACGCTCACTGGATCTCGCAGTGCAGGAATAGGGCTCCGTCACAGTTCGCCTGTGAGCCACGGGGGCAGGGCAGTGCCTGCCGCACCTTTGGGTGCGCACAGCCGGGCCAGCCAGCGCTGTGGACGCCCGCATGCGGGTGGAGGCCCACTCGGGCCCCCATCCCATCTTCCCACTGACCAGCTGGGCAGCCTTGGCAACTGACTTCATCCTTCTGAATCAAGTTCCTCGTCTGGGGACCGGTTGAGGATTAAGAGGACATGTAGTTTGTCAGGCCCTTTCATAAATGATAGCCTGTTACTGTGAATTCTTGGGAGTGATCATCAGTTACCGCCACAGGCAGTGGGTCCCCCCAAAATTCGTGTGTTGAAACCTAATCCCCAATGTGATGGTATTAGGAGGCAGGGCTCTGCCCTGGTGGGTAGGATTAGTGCTTTCATAAAAGAGACCCCCACAGGGCTCTCCTTTGTACCTTCCGTCTTGTGAGGGGACCCTGCAAAGACAGCTGCCCAGAAAGTGGGCTCACCAGACACCGAACCTGCCAGCACCCTGGCCTTGGACTTCTCAACCTCCAGAGCTGTGAGATGCATTTCTGTCTCTAAGCCATCCAGCCTGTGGTATTATGTCATGGCG